ACCTGGAGCCTGGGTCCTACTGCCAGCCCCCGCCGGCGGCTGCTGCGCGCGCTGTTCCTCTTACTCCGGTGCAGGGTGGGGTCCGGCCCCTGAGCCAGACTCCCCCACGCGCCCGCTACCCCAGAGGCGTGATGGGAATCCTTCACTCGCTTCGGCGGGCGCAGGCACACAGGGTGGAGAGAGCAGCAATGGCTTTGCCCTCAGAAGGCTTACGGTCCAGGCGGAGGGAGTCCAGCGGGGTGCATCAGTAGAATGTCCAGTATGTCAAATGAGTGTCGGAGTGAGAACAGAAGCAGGGAAGAGCATGAACTAAGAAGCTAGGGAGAGCTCGCTGGAAGGTGACTTTTAAGTCAAGACCTGGAGGAAGCAAGGGAACAAGCCAGTGCCTGGGGGGTTTGAGGAGCAGCCAGGCACTGAGGCCCGGTTGGCTGGAGTGGAGAGGGGAGAATAAAAGGATGGAATAATGATGATAATGGCTCAGGTGTTGAGCAGGTACCAGGCCAAATGCTAGGTGCTTTATGCATATTATTTCCTTTAATCCTCAAGACAACCTGGACCCAGTTAGCTGAGAGGAAATCGGGATTAGAGAGGTTAAATAATTCGAGGTCACACAGCATTGGAGCCCAAGGAGACTGATGTCATAGCCTGAAACACACCCAGGAGACCCAGGGTGGAGTGACCTTGACCAAGATAGGTTCTCCACTCTGCCCCTCAGTTTCCTCCCAACGTACAAGAGGGAGAGGGTGGCGAGTGACCTGAAGTGAAGGATGGGCTGTCAGGGCCCTTTTTGATGATAGTCTGCCCTAAAACCAGCTTGCCGTAATGTTCACCCAGCATTTGGGGCCCTGCCTAAAATTAGTACACAGAACAAGGGTATAGCAGGAGCCTTCACTGAAGTCTGTTTTCTCTGTTCTCCCAAGAGAGGCTTTTGTTGTCTGGGAAGCACTTGTCACTCCTCCAGGCTCTGGAGCAGGTACAAGTGGCTTTGGTATAGGAGGGCAGAAGATCCAGGGCTGAGAAGAGGCTGCTGCTGGGAGTGGTTTTGGGGGAAGCCTGGTATGGCTGAGTGCTCTGGAACAGTAACAAAGACAGTGTCAGCCTAGTGGGCTGTGTGTACCCACAAGCAACTGCAGAACAAGCAGAATCACCCAAACATCCCTGTGAAACTGGAGAAATTAAAGCATACCCATGAAACCCACCCAAGTCTGTGCAGGCAAGCAAGTTCTCTGACCACCGACCAGACCTAGTGGAAAGGGCCTTGGGATTGCTGATCTGGGCTCTGCTGGCTATGCCAGTTGCTTTTCTGCTGTGGAAGTGGGGAGATATTTTTGTGCTCTGGTGAAGATCTGCCTATAATCTGGTTCCAAGATGCTGAAAGGCTTTGGGACTCTTATGGGGGCCTCTTCTCCAGCCTGGCACAGCTTCCAGTCTTGGCCTTTGGGTTATGGTATGAAATGTGGCCCTGAGAGGCTTAGGAGTGGAATGGAACACAGCCCTCTGTGTTCGAGCCTCAGGTCACTAGTTAGTCTGAGGTCCTGGTGCTACAGGACCATGGTACTTACTGTCAGGCCACTCAGTAGACAAGAAAGAGGCTCAGAGAGGTTAAGTTTACCCAAGAGTGTACAGCTATAAAGTAGCAGATAGGGGATTCAAGTTTAAACCGTTGGAGTTCAGAGTCCAAGCCCTGCCCCTCAGGGAGTGGACTCACCCCAGCAGAGGGGATATACTTGTGGCCACATGTATGCAAAGTAGGTGCCTCACTTGGAGACCCTCCCTGCCACACACACACTCTGTGGGGACATACGGATGGGGAGGGGATGATGACCAAAGAGGATGGAGACACTTTCTGTTCTCAGCCACACATTCCCTGGACCTTGTTCCCAGGCATTGCATCTGGCCTGAATCAGTCAGTCCCTTCTCAGGCTGGCCCTGGTGTAGATGAGGCCAGAGGCACTATAGGGGGTATGCGGCAGGGGCTTCCTCCTCATGAAGTCTCAGGCTTTGGTCTTGGAGCTGGGCTCATTGAGAATGACTCCACCTGGGCCAGGGTACCCATCTGTGTACCCTGGTCCTGAATTAAGGGTGCTGCTGGAGCTATGTTCACTGACTTGGTGGCTATGAGTGTGGGGATACCAGGGTGGAGAGAGAGAGGTCTGAGGTGGCACATGCGAGTCATGAACTAATGTGGATAAAATACCGGTAGGAGATGGGCTTGTGGCAAACAGTTACTCTGTGCATTGTTTTGTGTTGAGCTGGTTCCTCCTTCCCTTTGGACTCCTTTCCTCCCTGGTGATGCTGTGAGTCTTAGAGCCCCAATGAGTTCTCAAACTCAGCATGCTGACCAAGAATCCTGGGGCAGAGCCCAGGTGTCTGCATTTTTAACAAGCTCAAGTGACTGTGACGCATGTCATTCTCTGACTAGACCTGGGAAACTGCTGTCCCGGGCCTTCCAGCCAGGCAGCCAAGAGGACCCCTTTCTGAATCTTCTAGCAGATCAGAGCTGTGTGTGTGTGTGTTTTCCACGACTGAATTTAAACACATTCTCTGTTGGAGTGTTATCAGCTGTGCTTTTCCCCTGTTTAAAATAAATGATGGAGTCTCCAGCAATAGCCCGGTCTCCAACCCTCCCCTGCCAAGCTTTTCCAAAGAGCAGGCTGCCCTAGATCACCAGCTCACTTCTGAGTTCCTTGCTCTGTCCTAAGCTGTCCCCTCATGTAGCACATTGCACCAGGTTCCGCCTGTGGCCCCTGAAATAGGTATTCCCTAAAGTCCCATCCTTAGACCTCCTTTGGTTGATGTTTTTCCTCATTTGAAGAGGCAAAAGTGAGGGGAACCCCTGTCTACTCACAAGAATTCCCAATATTTATACCCAGCCTCTGGGGGGCTTCAGGCCCACTTTTTTAGGGGCTAGCTTGGTGTCTCCCCTAGGCTTGCCCATTGGAGCTCTTCCAAATGGGCTGTTTGATTTGAAGGGAATCTAGCCACACCTGTCACGGTGGTCAGCCAGGTGGGTTCTGCGTGGCTCCCTCCTGAAGCTACACACCTTGAGAGAGGAAAGAGTACCTGCCAACTTTAAGGGAATCCGTCTCAGTAGCCAGATTTCCCTGCTGGAAACCTCTGACTGCTTTTTTGCTTTCCCTGATAAAACTCTTAGTACCATCTCATTTTCCTGATCCCTGAGCTCCCCACCCGCTTTGATGTCTATTCTCGTGCCCCAGGTTTGCAGCTTCAATGTCTCTTTGCACCACTTCCCCACCCACACACACACCCTTGCCCCCATCTAGGACAATCCCTACTTTGGGGTTTCTGAAACTCACCAGCGGCCTGCCCACTTTGCGGAGAGCCAGGCACTGAGCTAGGGGGCGTCAGCTGAGCAGGCACATCCCGCTCTGGACCAGTTCACCTGTGGCCTACTCAGAGACTGCCTGGCTTTCCTCCATCGGTGTTAGGGGCCACACAGCGTTGGTGTCAGGGCCCCTACCCTGGAGTTAGGGGTCTTGGTTCAGATCTTGGTTTTGCCCTAACCAGCCTTATGACCCGACAGATTCCTTGAGCCCTGAGTTCCTGTTTCCTTGTCTATAATGTCAAAGCTGGTAATAGTTCCGTCTCACAAGGCTCTTGTGAGGACTGGCATTACATGACCTCTTCTCTAAGCATCCTTGGCACTTAATATCGGCTGATCTGTATTATCACATTTAATCCTCAAAATCATCCTGTCAGATAAATTGTCACTATCAGACCCATTTTGTAGAGGAGAAGGAGGCTCAGAAGCCAAGTGATTTGCCCAAGGGCACACAGCTATAAAGTAGCAGAGGTAGGATTATTCTAGTACCAACTCTTTTACTCCAGAGCCTGAGCTTCTAACAACTAACACCTCCATCCCACCCCTACCCTGCTCTGGGTTCTCCTTCATCTTCTGTTCATTCATTCATTGAACAAATATTTATGGTGTGCCTGCTACCTAGGGATATAGTAGTGAATGAACAGAAGAACCTCTGCCCTCATGAAGCTTACATTTTGGGTGGGGACACAGGAAGAGATGTAAAAAGAAAGAACACCTGTAGGAACTTGCCTGAGGCCCTTCCTCACTATCTGCCCTGGGGGCACAGACCATGACCCCTGTATGGCCTCTGCACTGCTCCTTGTACCTCAGGCAGTAAGCATTGGCTGAATTGGACTGGATGTGGGTTTGACCCTTGTTGGGGGGGTGGGAAGTGGATCACAGCAAGACCCGATGTAGGGTTTGAAGGCATTAGAATCCTCTGGGGTTGGGAACAGTGCGGGCATAGAAGGAATGGGGTTGCAGTCCAACACCACGATCACAGGCCAGGCTGAGAGCAGGCTTTATTAGGGAACTACAAATCACAACCACAGTGGGAGATCACTTTACAGCCACCAGGATGACAATAACAACAACAACAACAACAAAAAGGAACAATGATAAGTACTAAGAGAATATGGAGGAATTAAAACTCGGACACTTCTGGTGGCAGTGTCAAATTGTGCAGCTGCTTTGAAACAGTCTGGCAGCTCTTCAACATAAGAGTCAACGTTTGAGAACTGAAAACATGTCCACTCAATATTTGTACATGAATGTTCATGGCAGCATTATTCACAATAGCCAAAAGGTAGAAACAACTCAAATGTTCATCAGCTGATGATGAGTAAATAAAATGTGATCTAGCCATACAGTGGAATAGTATTCAGCCATAAAAAGGAATGAAGTACTACTACTGATGCATGCTACAACATGGATGGACCTCACAAACATTATGCTAAGTGAAAAAAGCCAGAAACAAAAGGCCACATACCGTATGATTCCATTCATATGAAGTGTCCAAAAGAAGCAAATCTATAGAGATGGAAAGTGACTAAGAGTTGCCGGGGGCTGGGAAGTATAAGGTTTGGAAAGTAACTGCTAATAGATACAAGGTTTCTTTTTGGGGTGATGAAAATATTCTAAAGTTGATTGTGGTGATAGTTGCACAACATTGTGAATATAATGGAAAATGTTGAATTGTATACTTTAAAATGGTAAATTTTATGGCATGTGAGTTATATCTCAATAAAGCTGTTACTAAAAAAAATTAGCCAGACTTCCCTGCATTAATGCTGACAAGTGGTACAAGGAAGGACTCAAGAACTTGCTGAGTGACTGGGGCATATTCTTTGGGGTTACATTGCTGTAGTTCTCTTGAAATGATCTCCAAGAAGTGTCTCTGTAGAGGAAGAGGCTTCAATTAATCCTTCAGGCCTCAGCTTATGTGTTGCCCCTGAGAGAGACGCCCCATAACCCTCCCTTTGTCACTTGCTGTCAGTCTCAGCCCCTTCTTCCTTCTTTTTTATAGTTCTTTCCACACTTGGAATTGTTTTTTGTCCATGGACCTGATTTTGTCTGTCTTGCTGGACTGAGTTTCTTTAGGTCAGGGGCTTGTCTGTATCCTGTTTGCCCCATAGTAGGTACTCAATAAATACCTGTTGAGTGAATGAATACATATTTACTGATAACAGCTAGGGGAGATCTAGGCTGGGGTCCCTCATCACTGCAGGGGAGGGAGCAAGTTGAGTGGATCAGGGTGTCTCCTGGCCCCAGTGGCTTGCTTTTTTTCTCTGTTTCAGTTCCAGGAGAATGTCTCTGGAAAGGAAGCCCAAAGCCTGGTCTGGCTGGGAAGAGGGGAGAGGGGAGGGGAGCAGGAGCGGGGGCTGGGAAGGCCTGGGGAGGAAGTCTGCAGCCCCAGCCTGCCCAGGGCGCGGCGTCTGTGTTTGCACCTTTGGAATGTGGCTGATTCACTCTGGGGGGAGCCATGTGCAGCCACCACTGCCGCCTTGGATTCAACATCTGGAGGCTGAATTCCAGGAGGAGACAGATTCCTGTAAGCAGATGCCAACTTTGAAGGTCAAACTGAGCTATGGAGCTACTTTAGGAGGAGGCTCAGAGGGTCTAACACTGCCCTGCACCCCCAGCATTCTAAGAGAGAGGTGAGGCCCCATCCTCAGCCATGTACCAGCCCCTAAGCTACTAGAGCCCTATGGGAAATAGCATGAAGTCTGTAGTTGGACTTCTGTTCAAAGACTAGTTACTTAACAGCTCATATAATGTCAAAGGCAGAGGGCCTGGCTGGTCTAGTGCTCAGTCATGATGGTGGGACACTAGCTTGTACCTCCCAACTCACTATCCTCTGTGTCACCCTGTTTTCTTCTCTTGAGGCTCCAGCAAGACCCCAGGCTTGCCTCTTGGGTCCCAGCTCATCCCAGTCTCTGATTGGATAGGACTGGGTCAAGAGCTTGCCCCAGCCCAAGGCCAATACCCCTGGAGCCACATAGAGAAAGTGAGAGTGAGGGGTCCTTCAAAGGAGCCAAAGCCAGTGGGAAGGCAGAAACACCACCCACCCCCACTCTGCTCAGATGCCTCCACAGGACTGGCTACTGGGGCTTGTGCCAGGCGATGTGGCTCAGCTTCATGGCTCTTACCTACTGGGTGTCCCACTGGCTAAGTTCCTTAAGCTCTTGGAAACTCATTTTCTTCATCTATGAAATCTCAGGATTTTTTAGGGATTGGGTGAGACAATGCATGCAAATCCCTTGGCAACTGCTTGGACTGGAGGAGGCAAGATGCAAACTTATGTCTCGTTTCCTTTCCCTTTCCTGTATCTGGGTGCTATCCCTTCTGGTCTGTGACAGTGCATGTGTGTGTGCATGTGTGTGCATGGCAGGCCCCTTTCTCTTCTCCAAGGAATTCTGTATTATTTGGCTTCTCCCTAGAGGGTTAGGGACTACACAGAGAAGGTGGAAGCAGGAGGGAGAGGAAAGGGGTTGATGGAGAATGGTGTGGGCCTCACCTGCAGGTCTGCAGGCTCAGGCCTGCCTCTGGGAGTTGGCTCCTTGTGCCTTCAGCTATGGGGCTGGAGGAAGGGCCCAGGCTCTGAAGAGCGGCTGCCTCAGTCACTCGCATGCCACATTATAAGCGTGTCTGGTCATTCGACATTGCGGGGCAGCCCTGAACCAGGCTTGCTGATCTTGTATGTTCTCTCTCTTGGAACCCTGGAATGTGGGAGTGGATTGGAGAGGAACTCAGGCCTAGGGCTTCTCGGGAGAAGAACTGATGCCAAGAGTGGTCCAAGCCTCTTGGACGCCTCTGAGAAACCAGGGACTTCTGAGAGGGCAGAGAGCTGAGGGTAGTCATGCTTTAAGCTTTTTCCAGCTATTCGTGAACCAAGGTAAAGTGCCTCCCAGACTCTCTTTGGGGCCATGTAGTGCTAGAACAAGTGTTCCACCCCCTGGGCTCAGAATCCTCCCCTCCTGCCAGCCCTGCTGGGTACCACACCTCTGAGCTGCTACAGGTTTGTGGATGCCAGCTCATCCCTACCAAACCACCCAAGGCTTCTCTCAGCCCAAAGGCTTCTGTGTGCACCTGTGCTTATTTTTGTCTCCGCATCTGTACAGAGCTTAATCGTGACACTGCATCAGTCAACGTGGTCAGTGGCTCCTGCTGTCGGTCATTCATTCACATCTGTGTGCGCCGAGCATGACTGTGACAATCATCCCAGGCTGCCAGGACCACACTGCTTGGCCCTCGCCTGGGTCTCGAGCATTTTTTAATGTGTTCATCTGGTCTCTTCCATTTTATGATAGACTCTCTGAAGCTGAAGGACGTAGTAATGAGAGCTATATTTTCTGAGCTCTTACTAAGTGCTTTTTAAAAATTGAGATATAATTCACATACCATAAAATTCTCTTTTCTAAAGTGTACAGTTCAGTGGGTTTTCATATAGTCACAGAGTTGTGCATCCATTACCACCATCTAATTCCAGAACATTTTCTTTGCCCCCAAATGAAACTCCAGTAGGTTCTTCAATTGTAAAAAATGTACCACTCACATGGGAGATGTTGATAATGGGGGAGGCTGTGTATGTCTGGGGGTAGGGAGTGTATGGGAAATCTCTGTACCTTCTGCTCAATATAGCTGTGAACTTAAAACTGCTCTAAAAAAAATAAATCGATTAAAACATAACAAAACCCATTAGTAGTCACTCCTTTTTCCTCCATCCCTTCCAGACCCTGGCAATCACCAGTCTGCTTTCTGTCTCCGTGGATTTGCCTATTCTGGACATTTCATATAAATGGAGTGTCTGGTTTTTTCACTGAGCATTATGTTTTCAAGGTTTATCAATGTTGTAGCATGAATCGATACTTCATTCCTTTTTATGGCTAAGTAATATTCTATTGTGTAGGTCAATCAGAATTTGTGTATCCATTCATTCATCAATGGATGTTTGGGTTGTTTCTGCCTTTTTTGAATAAGAAATATGCTATGAACATGTATGTATAGTTTTTTTGTGAAAATGAAGGTTTTCAATCTAAATGCTTTTTGACAAAAACTTCATTTAACCCTCACAGCAGGGATGTGTGTCAGTGCTGGCATGCTCCCTCTCCTGCAGAAGAGGAAACTGAGGCTCAGAGAGGTGAGTCAAGGTCACACAGCTGGAAGTGCTGGGATTCTCTTGCTCTTTGTCACCAGGCTCCATGATGCCTACTGAGGTGTTTCCATTTATTTTTAGCAGAGCCTTGCTGAGTGCTGTCTCACGGTAAATGTTGCTGACTCTTCAAACAAGGGTTGTGCAGACCTCAAGCCCCAGTAGCCTCCATGTTCTGTCAAGGTGAGTGCTGGTCACCTGCTAAGAGGTGATCCTTCGGGCCCCTGGGAAGCACCTCAAGGGTTTATGGGAGGTCCCTACTGCTGCAGATTCGTCCACAGATTTGGCACCAGGCATTTGACTGCTTCCTCGGATACATTCTCAGCCTGTACCACCTTGCTTTCTCGAGGGTCCCAGGGCCGCCTTTCATCTCTTGCCTTGGATTTGGCACACAGACCCATGTTCACCATTGATGAACCACCTTCCTTCCCCCATGGCACAGTGGGTAGGTGTGCGAGTCCTCCTGTCAGACAAACCCTGGTTTAAGTCTGCTCTGCCACTCTGGTTGTGTGACTGTGGGCAAGTTTCTGAATGTCTCAGAGCCTCTTTGCTCATCTGTAGTTGGGGGGTGGGGTGTCATAATAATACTACCCACTGACACAGATTAAGTGGTTGTGGGATTGACTAAGAAAAGGGACACGAGGTGCTCATTTAGCACGCGACACACACTTGGGAAGCCCCCATCTCCATCTCTGGTCAGTTCTCACTGCAAAAGCAGGCTGGCAGCCAGCCTGGGGAGGGGGCGGGGAGAGGGCGGGGAGAGGGCGGGAGCTTTGTGTGTCTCCCTGCCCCTGGAGCAGCAGGAGGCTCCCATGACTCAGTTCTGCCCAAGGAGGGGGAAGTCAAGGCCAGGCCTCTGAGGTTGGTAAAAGGGACCTCCCCATCATCCTCCTCACTCTGCCCTCTGCCCATCTCCCCACCCAGTGCTTCCGGCAAAGCTGGGCAGGGCCTGCTGAATTTTCTGCTGGTAGCCTGGGCCTGGCCCTCCACCCTTCCCCAGATTTGCAGCATAGACCTACTGCCCTGTAGACTACCCTGGGTGGGCACCACAGCCCATGGCCTGAGGCTAGAGGGGCAGCCATGCGGAGGGGACTTGGTACAAGGATGGGAGGACCTTTTCTGGCCACCAGAGCAAAGCCTTGGGCTCCTGCCAGGGAAACCCTCTCTGCTGCTGCTGTTCAGCCTTTCCCAGCCCTGCCCCTGTCCTCCAGCTTCTCACATTTCAGCTTCTGAGTTACTGGCACCACCTCGTGCTGCTGCTGCTGCTCCTGCTGCTGCTGCTGCTGTTGCTGTTGCTTCTGAGACCACTGCACCAGACAGATATTAACCCCCCATGTGCTGGCAGCGCAAGGCTGGAAGTAGGACATGCTCAAGGTCCAGAGGGGCTGAGGAAGGAGAAAGCCATACTGAAACTAGTCCCTTTGCTCTAGCCTGGCTCCTCTCTGGGGTTTTATTTTACCTCCTTCCTCCCTGTCTGCCCAAACTTGAAGCCGAAGCCTCCCGGACCCCTAGGAGTCATTCCTTCCTTTGGTTGCCTGTGCTCTGACAGCCACAAATGTGGGCTTCTATCACCGTGTACTTGACCTTGTCCTTTCAGGCAGACTGTGTTTCTTTCTTCATATCCCTCACTGCACCCAGCTGGGCTTCCCTCTTGCACCAGGCCTTATGTGGTCAGGGCCAGGCCACCAGTCCCAGGTGAGCTCTTGAGTCCTGAGGCCACAGGTGGTCATGAGGAACCTGCAGGGAGCTGGGCACTGGCACTGACTAGCTTGGATGATCTTGGGCAAGTCCCTGGGATAGGATAACAGATTTGGGCTACAATACTGAGGACGAAACAATTCGAATCAAGCTGCCAGAGCAGCAATTGGCACTTAGTGGGCACTTGACCGCTCGTGCCCATATACACATGTACCTCCCCAACACACACACACATGCTGGAGCTCTGAGCACCCCTCCCCAAGGAGAGCTGTTTCTGTTTCCCCGCTGCCTCTCCCCTTGCAGCCACCCAGGTCTGCTTTCTGATCAGAGCAGGTCTCTGTGGCCCCCCTGGCCTGGCCAGTCCCAGCCCCATCCTTTTCTGTCCTCATTGGCATACTTTCTTCTCTCTGTCCACTCCTCCGAGGAGAGCTGGCTGCCCAGAGAGACACTGAACACCCTCTCCGAGCTCAATATCACCCCCAGTTGTCTTCCTCCTCTGCTTCTGACCTTTCTCCTGGACTCTAAATGCTCCTTCCCAGTTTCTTGCAGCACCTTTGCTGACCCTTCACCCTCTCCACTGTACACCTGTGGTCCCTAGGCTGACTTACTCTCCTTTATGTTGACCGAAGACTCCGAGCTCTGTCTCGTCTCCATGTACTCTCGAGGGGGAAAGGACCCACCTTTACAGATGTGCCATGCCTCAGGCTCCTGGTCTGCTGGGTGGGATTATTGTCACAGCCGCCCTATGTGCTTGTAGAGATCAACTGAGGAAGGGGTCAGACAGCCATTTGTCTAAAACTGAAACAGTCCAGCCAAGGTGGCCACGGGTTGAATTTTTATAAAGGGAATGCACGTACCTGAAGCGGGGCATACCTGGTTCCTCCTTGCTGACACGGTGAAAAGCAGAGACATTTTCCTGGGAGAAAGTCCCTCACAGAAGGAGGTGAAACTTACCCATGGAGTATGAACGGAGGAGCTGAGTGCTGATGATGGAGGGGAGAGAAGAGGGGGAAGGGCAGGAGCCTACCCAGGGGGCTGCAGTAGCAGGCCTGGAAACACAGGGAGTGGGACCAGAAAGGGAGGACAGGGGTCACACCACAGGTGAACTCCAGCCCCCTTTTCAAGGGCTTGCTTATGAGCAAAGTCATCAGGCTGGACAAAGGAAGCAGGCATCTGAAGGTCAAGGCCTTTTGGGGCTCTTAGGTAAGCCCAGTGCCCTCAAGATCTGCAGGGCCTTGAGGATGTGGAAGGCCAAAGGTCAGCCCCTTCACCCCAATCCTTGCCTTGCATTCCCCAGATGTGTTCAGTCTCCCCACAAAGCATCTTATGTGCCAGGCGCCCCCTAGTGGTTGGGGAGCCCCAGCCTTGTTGGTCCAGAGATCTCTTTATGACTAGGATAGGAAAGAAGACCAAGGCTTGGGGCATTTGGGGTTTACTCCAAATCCCAGCACAGGCATTTGACTACCATTCTGCCTTCACGGGAGTATTCAGGATCTCCTCTCAGGCAGTAGCTTTTTGCTTCAATGGGGCCCTCGTCCCTCATCTAAGAGCTGGTGTCCACCCTTCTCTCCCAAACAAGTTGGGGTTCCCCACATGCACCAGAGCATGCTGGGGCCCAAAAGGCCATCTGTGCACCCCCCTACTCTTGGAATATTTGCATGGAGGAGCCCTAGATTCCTGTTTAGGTTCCATCTCTAATTCTCTGTATGTCCTTAAGGATGTCCCTTAACTTTCTCTGCATCTCCTTCATTTCCTTCTATCTGTGGTAGCAGAATTCTCCTAAGGCCCCCAATGACTTTTTCCCTTGTATAATCTCCTCCCTTTGAGTGTAGGTAGAATCTGTGCATATGGTATTACTTCCATGATTAGGTTATGTGTTATATATGCTCAGTTGACCTTGAGCTAGTGACATTATCCAGGAGAGCCTGACCTAATCACCTGACCCTTAAAAAGTAGAGCATTTTCTCCAACTGTTTCTAAGAGGAAATTAGAGAGATTTGAAGCAAGAGAAGGATCCACATATGGGACGCTCTCTTGCTCAGATGGAGGGAGCCATGGGACATGGACCTAAGAATGTGTTTCTAGGAATTGAGAGCGGACCTTAGCTAGTAACCAGCAAGTTGATGGAAACCTCAGTCTTACAGCCAAAAGGAACTGAATTCTGCTGACATCCAGTGACTTTGGAAGAGGATCAGAGCCCCAGATGAAATTGAAGCCATGGCTGACACCTCAATTTTAGCTAATGCGACCCTGGGCAGAGAATCCAGCCGTCCAGCCATGCCATGCCTGGCCTTCTGACCTCTTGAACTGTGCAATGATAAACAAGTGCTGTTTTAAGCCAATAAATTTGTGGAAATTTATTACACAGCAACAAGAAATGAATATATCATCTATCCAAAGAGAAGAATGGTATTCTAGACATATGTAGAATAAAAACGAGAAAAATCTGTCCCTTCTCCACACTGGTGCTACGTAGTCAAAAGCTGCAGCCACCACCTGTGCTTATAGTCTCTCCTGGCTGCAGTTAAACCCACATTCTTAGGTTTCACATCTCTCACCTGAGCTTCCAACCATCTTGGGATAAGGCCACGTTTGTCTTGAGAAGGGCTGTGATGATGGCACCATCAGAACAGGCAGACCCCACTTTAGCTGAAGAAAGGAGCTCTGGAACCCTCAGCTGTAGGGGATCCACGTGATTTCTGCCCCCCTCCCCGACTCTTCGCTATTTTTAGTGTTAATGAAGCTGTTTTTAAAATAACAACTTTATTAGATATAATTTACCTATCTAAGGTGTAGAATTGAGTGGTTTTTAGTATATTCAGAGTTGTGTAACCATCACCACAGTCGATTTCAGAACATTTTCATCATCCCCAAAGAAATCCTCCACACCCATTAGCAACCACCCCTTATTTCCCCCTAACAACCCCTCAGTCCCTGGTGACCACTAATCTACTTTCTGTCTCTCTAGGTTTGCTTATTCTGGACATTTCATTTAATGGAATCATACAATATGTGACCTTCTGTGTCTGCCTGTTTTCACTGAGCATCATGTTTTCAAGGCTCATCCATGTTGTGGCATGAATCAGTACTTCATTCCTTTTTATGACTGACTAATATTCCACTGTATGAATGGACCACACTTTGCATATCCATTCATTATGAAAGCCTGAGGGTGACTCTCATTCACTACTCCTGCCTGGAATTTGGGGTGGGGCTGAGAGAAGGGGAACAAAGGGGAGAGAAGGAAGCTGGGCTCCAGCTCAATAGATGACGATTTGCATTTCTCAGAGAAATCATCCACAGGTAGTTATTTGATTACATTCTTTACAGAGACCTCCCTTTCAAAGGGTAAGCAGTCTGTGGGCTGATTTTCACACGACTTGATTCTATGCGCAGTTGTCTTACTGTAAAGCAGGTGAGCCCCACGTTCAATGTCTAAGAACCTTATAACATGCCTGCTCCCTCTCACCTGTGGCAAGTTTTAG